CATGAATTCTATAATCTGATATCAAATGGAAAAGGTATGGAGATCATTTTAACAGATAAAATATTCGGGGTGGTCATGTTCATAAACTCCAAGTACTCGGGGACTAAAAACAATTTCCATGTACTCAGTCCCCAACAAGTTTACTTTTAAGAATGAAAATGTGCCCTGAAAATCACAGATTCCTAAGAATAATGTTTGCCCTCGGAAGAACAAAGTCAAGAAATTACTAATGGCATTTAAGAAAATTAGCCTAGTCTCTTCTATATTGTGACAATGTCATTCATCTCTTGATCTTTCTAAGATAAAGATCAAGAGATCCTATTTTGGTTTTCCAAATATTAAAGAAACTTTAAAGAACTCATCACCAAAGCAACCTTCATCAGATAGATCATGGCTGACATTGGTCTAAGTCTACACCAACTTAATTTCTTTGTTACAAACATTAATCTCATTGACGTGGATTCAACACCTAATAAGAGTCATGCATATTGTCATCAGAAAACAATAACTGATATATTAATCCAATCCATTTCATATGTTAAGTATAGTCAGCTATTCTCTGCCATTTTCTATTTCAATTAACAAAGTTATTATCCAATACCACATTCGATCCTCGTGTAACATAAAACTATAGGAATGCAAGTTGCCAGAATAACATTGAAAACTATTCTCATGATGTTGCATGCTTTGCCTAACCCATGTAGTCTTCCTATCATTGTGCTTTTATAAACTCTATTTAGAAGAGGTGTTAATTTTTTTTTTGAAAAGCAAAAGAAATATTTATTGATGCAGAGTACAAGGGGTACCCCAAACCCGTAAACATCTTAGTTTGGAAGGCACAGAGTTAACAGCCCTTCCGTTAGGTGTCGACACCTATATTTTGTGTCGACACCATGTCCGTGTCGAGTTTCACAGTGCTCAGCCCTTCCAGAATACCCTAACCTCCCTTGTTGATATTTTTGGCACTGGGTTTCCTTAGTTGCATTTCTAGTACCTTCCAACTGTTTGCAGCATGCTTGTATTCTTCAACCTCCTCACATCCTTTCTTGATGCTTCAAACAGGGGATTTCACCAAGTTAGCTGCTTGTCCTTAATCTTTTCTCTTACTGGCACAATTGAATTTTAAGCAGCCCGTCGGGTATTGAATCCAATCTGACAGTGAAAAATAGCAGCCTTCCCTTTTACCTTTGATCCAGTTGAATGCCCTTATCTGTACCATCTCTAATAGCTTTCTCCTGTCAACCTCTTTCTGTTTAAAGATCTTCTCGTTCCTGGCAAGCCAGATTGTCCATGTCACCGTGAACCAGATACACTCCCATCCAATCTTTTTTGTAGTCATTTTAGCTACATTCGGGTGCTGTTCAAAAACCTTTTTACAGTCTTTGTCTTGTACTGTTCTAATGCCCCACCACTTGTAACAATCCCTCCACAAATCTGAAGCTATTTTACAGTGTATAAAGAGATGATTGGAATCCTCATTCTCCACCCCGTAGAATATACACTTGCACTCCTCGGGATTTTTCAGTATTCCTCTTTTAAAGAGATTGCTTCTTGTTGGGATCTTGTTTTGCAATAGCTGCCATACGAAAATTGATATCTTGGTAGGGATGAGCGAATTCCAGACCATTTGTGACACCCTTCTTGGTTGTTCCACTCCATTTCCATCTGACAATGCCTTATATGCAGATTTTGTAGTGTATCTCCCATCTTTATTATGCTGCCATTCCCATAGATCCTTTTTTCCTCTCTCGATTGTGATGTCATGGATTTGATTCAGCAATTCTACTTCCTGCATCTTTTCCCAACTGTACAGGTTCCTTCTCCATTGTATATTCCATATCCAAATGCCATTGTTCCACTTTCCCATCTGATTAATCTTTTTGTTCTTTCCTGTCGAAATTAAGTAAAGTCTTGGAAATTTGTTAGCAAGACTTCCCTTGCCACACCAACTGTCCCACCAGAAACTTACCTCTATTCCTTCTCCTACCTTTAGCTTTAGCCCGTCCTCCAACCATCCCCTATTCTCTTCTGCTATAACATTCACTCTACCTACATCCCTCCACCATCGAGAGCCTAGACCCGTATTCTCCCTCAGCCAATTGTAGCTTGGATCCCCCTCCCTCCCATATTTCTCATAAATGATTTTTTTCCATAACCCACTATCCTCCGACACAAGTCTTCCCCACCACTTACCCAACAAAGCCATATTAAACTTCCTCAAATCCTTGACACCCAAGCCTCCTCTCTCCTTATCCTTGCATACCCGACCCCACTTGACCCAATTTACTCTCTTGCCCTCTTCAGTCCCACCCCATAAAAATCTTCTACGAATTTTATCAAGTAAGAGGAGTGTACCTTTTGGGATCAAGTATACTGACATCCAGAACACAGGAAGGTTGGACAGCACTGAGTTCATGAGAGTAATTCGTCCTCCGAGCGATAAATAGCGACCTTTCCATGTAGATAGCTTTTTTTTGAAGATATCCACCAAAGGTTTCCAAAAGGAAAGCTTCCTACTGCACCCCCCTATGGGAATTCCCAAGTATTTAAAGGGCAATGACCCCTTTTTGCAGCATAGCACCCATGCCATTTTCTCCACCCATCCTTCTTCCACACAAAGTCCCATCAATTGGCTCTTATTAAAATTAATCTTTAAGCCAGATACCAGTTCAAATGCTCTCAGGATCCCCTTCATTGCCCATATATTCTCCTCTGTTGCTTTACCGAACAAAATTGTATCATCTGCATACTGTAGGTGAGTGACTTTGAAGCCTCTAGGACCCATCTCCACTCCTTCCAACAAACCTTTCTTACTTGCCGTTGAAATCAGCCCATTTAATCCTTCTGCAATTATTGTGAATAGAAATGGGGACAGTGGATCTCCTTGCCTCAAGCCACGAGATATTGAAAATTGTCTTGTCGGGCTTCCATTAACTAAGACTGACACTAGGCATGTTTTTAAACACTCCTTGATCCAGTTCCTCCAGGTTTCACTAAAACCCATTCTCTTCATCATATATTCGAGGAAATTCCAGCTAACCTTGTCATACGCTTTCTCGAAGTCAATCTTGAGCATAAATGACTTTTTCTTCTTCTTTTTAGCTTCATCTATCATCTCATTCGCGATCACTACACCATCCATTAATTGTCTTCCTCTAATAAACGCCATCTGCTGCTCCCCTATTACCCCTTCTAGTACCTCCTTGAGACGGTTGGCTAATAATTTTGCCAAAATTTTGTACATCGCTCCAAGCAGGGATATTGGTCTATAATCCTCTATCTTCTGTGGACTCACTACTTTCGGGATGAGGACAATGAATGAAGTGTTAAGCCCCTTCACCAACTTACTATTCTTCTGGAATTCATGAATGAATTCAATCACCTCTTCTTTAATTGTATCCCACTCACTCTTGACAAATCCAAAATTGAAGCCATCCGGTCCTGGAGCTTTTGAGCACTCACACTCCCATATTGCTGCCTTGATCTCACTTTCACTAAAGGGAGCGATGAGTGAGACATTTTGTTCCATAGAGATTTGATTGAATTGCACCCCTTCCAGGGTAGGCCTTTCTCTCCATTCCTCAGTGAACATCTTCTCAAAGAATGATGCTATCTCCTCTTTCATTCTATTGGGCTCCACTATCTGATTTCCATTTATTTGAATACTGCTCATTTCATTTCTCTTCCGTCTGCCCTTCACACAATTATGGAAAAACTTTGTATTGGCATCTCCATTTGCCAACCATACTTTCCTTGACTTTTGCTGCATCCTGCTCTCCTTGGACCTTATGTTCTCCCATAGCTCTATAACCGCCTCTCTTCTACTGATAATTTCCTCCTCAGATAACTGCCCATTCTCCCCCTTCACATCCAGCTGAGCTATTATTGCTGTAGCTTTGTTTATTTTGTTGTCAACTTCCGGGGCGAAGTTTCTGCTCCAGTTCCTTAAAGCCTCTTTAGTCTTCTTCAATTTTTCTTTGAGGCGAAAACCAGCCCAGCCTTCAATATTGGTTTTTCTCCACACTTCTCGAATCAACTCCCTACATCCTTCTTTCTCTAGCCATGCATCAAATAATCTGAAAGGCTTAGGCCCCCAGTCCACCTGTTGGTGTTTAAGCACAATTGGGCAATGGTCTGACACTGATCTACATAAACCCCATTGCCTTGCTTCACTCCACATGGATAACCAGCCATCCGACAGAAGAACTCTATCAATTCTGCTCATTGACCTCCCACTTGCCTGGTACCATGTAAATTTCCTTCCAATTAATGGTAAATCATTCAATTCCATCTCCCTAATGAAGCCATCAAACTCCCTTATTTCAGCTGTCAAGCCATTATTCCCTGTTTTCTCTTCTACACTTCTCACCGCATTAAAATCCCCCACAAAACACCAGTTACCTCCTCTCCCTGCTGCTAGATTTTTTAATTCCTCCCATAAAGCTCTTTTTCCAGATAATTGACATGGGGAGTAGACGTTAATGACCTTTACTGGAACTTTCTCAGGCCCCCACACCCCTTCAATTCCTATAAAATGTTCTCCTTCCACAATCTGGACTTTCTCTAAAATTCTAGTGTTCCACACACATAGCAAACCCCCCGACATGCCCACTGCATTTTTAGCAACCCAGTCAAAATCCTCTGATCCCCACACTAAACTGCAAGTCTTTCTGTTGATCGTCCCCATTTTTGTTTCTTGAATGGCAATAAAATCCACTCTTTCTCTTTTTACTAGCTCTCTAATGTGTGTAATTTTCCCCCTTCTCCCCATTCCTCTGATATTGTATGACATAAGATTCATTGAACTGGATTACTAACCTTCTGCTCCGTGCTTGCCCCCTTTACTGTCTCCAGCTCCTTTGCTCTTCTATCCCTGACCTCCATCTCCTCTAGATTCTTGAGAACCGCCTCCTCATCATCTGCAACTACCCCTAACTTTTTTGCAAAGTTCCACAGCTCTCCTGCCATTCTCTGTTGCTGGTGTTCCTTCAGACTTTTGTTACGATTTTCTATACCACTATCGCGCACTGAATCGCCTACCACTGAGTTACTAGAGCGTGGCAGGAACTCTAGTATCTCTATTCTTTGTGCTTTTTTCCCCTTAGATTTTCCTTTGCCCTTCATCTTTTGGTTTTGTAGACCTATGCAATTTGCTCTTTTGTACACCAATCTGCACGGTTTAATCTTCTTTCTTATGATCTTCTTATCACTTCTGGTACTGTTGCTCATCCCCTCATTTCTATTTTCGCCCTCACTCCCCCTTCTGTAACTTTCTCTGCTATTTTGGGCCATGCCATCCCCCGATCTCCTTGCCAAATCTTGAGGGCTCTCCCTTATTTCTTCCAAATTGGGCCTTACTTTGTAACCCCTTTGCTCACTTAAGCCTACTGCTTCAACGTCTCCTGCTGCCCTCTCCAATATTTCTTCAACAGAATGAACTTGGCCCACTACCTCTTTGTTGGGCTTGTCCCGTAAGCCCGCTCTACTTCTTCTTATGCTTTTTGAGTTTTCCTTGCTCAACTGATATTTGCATTTTGACTTTGCTTGCCACGTTCCACTGTCCTCACTGTGATTTTCACTGTTTATTGCCTTCTCCAAATTAATGCTATCTGCCACAACCTCAACAGAGTCTTCCTCTACTTGCCGACTATGGTGTAGGTTGTCACTCTCCTTGTCTTGTCCGACTTCATATCTCTCTTTTTGAAATTCAAAATCCTTCTTGAAGTCTGAAGCGGCAGTTAAACCCTTGCTCTATTTCCCATAATCTGATCTTTCGCTGCTATCATCTTCTTCTCCGGCACCGACCTCACCTCCTGCTTCTGAATTGATACCTTCGCTTCCTTCTTGATCATTACTGCCAACCGACCAATCTTCTTCATTCTCTGAGTCACTCATGAATCTTGGAAGAAAGTCATATTTCAACGAGAACAGGCTATTGGTCAGTTCTTCCTCCGAGAACTTAATGTTGTACATGATACCATTAATTTTAATCTGTCGATTCACTGAAATGGAATCCATAATTGAGGTCGAAATAAGGAATCTAGCAACATCAAAGCGCCTTTTTTTGCTAGTGCTGTCATCCACACAAATGAACTTGCCCCAAGCAGCTGCCATAGACTGAAAAAAATCAGGACCCCATGCAAGCATTGGTACTCCTTGGCACCTAATCCACACAAACCTTTCTTTCGCCACCATAGATGGAGACCAAGGTTTAACTTCTGAGAACCATTGTCCCAGCCAGTCTGAAGCTCCCTGCACTAAATCTTTTAGTTCCTCCTTGTCTTCACAATCCATAAGTAGCATTTTTCCACCCATGGCCCTTAGACGGCATGAGAAGTAACCCTCCATATAGAATTTTTCTTGCAGATTTGGCACAATATCTACAGAGTGAGCTATCCCCACATAACACCCCTGTAACCACTCATAGTCTTCCTCTTTCACGTTGTATTCCATGCCTGACCACATAGCTTCTCTGGATTTGATCTTCCATTCTTGTTGTTTCGCTGGTTGTCTAAGTTCTTCTTTGAATTCATTTCTTCCCCTCTCGTACTCTGATTTCTTCGTTGGTTGTCCCTCTGATTTTTTATTGTTCCTTCCTTCATATCCTCTAACTGCATCAGCATAGGATTTGCCTTGCGTGATGGTCTTTATTGAATCTCCTTTTCTTATCGCCTTTACTCCTGTCTCCTCCTCCGGATATTTTGCTAGATTTACCCAGATTTTTCGTCCAGCAACCCGGATCTGATCAAGCTTTCCTTCTAGTTCCCTTTCGTTCTTCACTTCTAGGAACCTCACAAAACCAAACCTAGAGCCATTCTTACATCTTCTCTGTGGACTGTAGATGGCTAGCACCCTCCCATACTTCCTAAACGTCCCCCACATGTCTGTATAACTCCAGTTATCTGGGATATTTGTGAAAAAGAAAGCAGTAGCTTGTTTGTAAATCCCCTGGTCATAGCCCCATTCTTTCCAAGACTTCTGATTTCTATTCATATCCCTTTGCTCTGTTCCTCTCAACCTCCCTTGCCAGTTTCGCTGCCTGAGGCTTCCGAACCCCCTACCCTGTGCTGTCCGTCCTGTCCTTGTTCGGTGTCTGCTACCTGAGACCCACTCTCTCTCTCCAGCATTCTCTCTCATTCTTTCTTTACCAAGCTGGTGATTGAGGTATAGGTTTTTATATAATTTTTAATTTTAAATCAAATACTCATAAGTAATCAACGGGTAATCATAAAAACTCAAACTAAAACTCGTTTTTTTATGAAACTCGATATATTATGCTTGAACTCAACTCATTTACTAAATAAATCGAACTCGAGTTGAATTTAACTTAAGTAATTTACAAGTTACTCATAAACTATTCTATTCATTAATAGTTCTACTCACATTGAAAATTAGTTTTCCTACTTTCTTTTTCTTCTTTTGCTTTTTTACATAATTTTAGGCAATACTCTTATTCAAGAAAAATTGAAAAAAAAATTTCATATATTGATTTTAAAAAGAATTTTTAATTTCAAATAGTATAATTTTTCTCTATATAAAAATACTCCGAAATTACTTAATTTATAAACCAATAACTGCAAAACATAGCTAGAACAAGCTGAACTTAGATCGACAAAAATTAAAAAGTCTATGACTTAATTAAATCAAACAAAACATATATGGGTGTGTGTTTGAATAATTTGAAATAATCTAAGGATGTTACAACTATTATCCATAAAAAAGCATGAGTCCTACGTGAGCATACTGAGCTTTAACAGAATCAACTACCCTTTGAAAATGACATTTTTTT